AATTTGGTCAGGTCCCATTTATTTATTTTGGTTGTTGCTGTGATTGCCTTTGGGGTCTTCTTCATAAATTCTTTGCCTAGGCCAATGTCTAGAAGAATATTTCCAATGTTTTCCTCTAGAATTCTTATAGTTTCATGCCTTAGGTTTAAGACTCAATACCCTTCACAATAGCAACAAAGAAAATAAAGTACCTAGGAATATATTTAACTAAGGAGGTAAAAGACCTCTACAAGAAGAACTATGAAATACTGAGGAAGGAAATAGCAGAGGACATAAACAGGTGGAAAACCATACCATGCTCGTGGGTCAGCAGAATCAACATTGTTAAAATGTCTATACTACCCAAAGTGATCTACAGATTCAATGCAATCCCTATTAGAATACCAACATCATTTTTCACAGACATAGAAAAAATAATTTTACGCTTCGTATGGAACCAGAGAAGACTCGTATAGCAAAAGCAATCCTAGGCAATAAAAACAAAATTGGAGGCATCAATTTACCAGACTTCAAACTATACTACAAGGCTATAGTAATTAAAACAGTATGGCAACTGGCACAAGAACAGAGACATAGACCTTTGGAACAGAACTGAGAATCCAGATATAAAACCAGCCTCATATAGCCATCTAATCTTGGACAAAGCAGACAAAAACATACACTGGGGGAAAGAATCCTCATTCAATAAATGGTGCTGGGAAAACTGGATAGCCACATGTAGAAGACTGAAACAGGATCCACACCTTTTACCTCTCACAAGAAAACTAACAATTTTTAAAAAGGTCAAGATGTAGGAAGATCCAAATAACCACATTTAGAAAATTTGTGCTATTACTATTATAATTGTCTTTTCACTTTTGGATTTCATTTAAGGTTAGCAGCAGATGGGAGGCTAAAATTACTTTTTAAATGGCAAAACAAATTGATAAATGCCTCTAGTTATCTTCAAAAATACTTAATGAAGCCTCTTACTTAGAGATTTCATTGTGCCTGGTCTTTCGCCATATATAACTCAACTCTACCTTCTTTATGGAATACACCACTTTATTGAGAAGAAAAAATGCTTTGTATGCCAAAATTGCAACCCCTCTATGAATCTCTTTGGACCACTCCTCATTAGTTTCTGCCTCATATGAGTTTCTTCCTTTCAGAGGAAGATCACCTGACATGCAGAGTTTACATACACAGTATATGTAAATGTATCTTATATTTAAAGTTTATGCTCATGCATGCAAACATATATTTTTAAATCATGCAGAAGCACTACAAATATTTGAGGGAGGCAGAGATCCTTTTAAGTCCCCATTTTTGGAGAATTTTATTCATTAGATACAAAGCTTCCTGCTTCCCACCCCTATAATTATGTCTTAAGGAGAACCACCTGCCCTATGGATTAACCGTTATTCTAATTGTCCTGATTTCCTCATTTCTAGAAGATATGTGTGTTTTCTGGAAGATATGTATGTTCTCTTCTAGGTGCATGCAGAATACAGCAGATGGCCCTTCTGAACATGTAGAGGATTACCTCTGTGACCCAGAAGAGATGCCCCTGGGCTCTAGAGAGTGCAAATTACCATGTCCTGAGGACTGTGTGATATCTGAATGGGGTCCATGGACTCGATGTGCTTTGGTGAGATGATTGTATGATTTTATTAGTATAGAGCTTACTTAATTTCATTTTTTATACCAACAAAGCAAAGGCAAAAGAGCTTACTTAATGTTTTACTGAAGCTTTAAAGATATTAGTAAGAAAATATAACGTCAATGTCAAATCTGCCTGTGTGCCATATTTACCAAAGCACGGTGTGTTTTCTTGGTCTCTTCATTCTCTAACTGTGCCATTTAAAGTCAGCAATATTTCCTCTCACAGAGGAACACTTCAACCTCTTGTGAACTTCATGCTTCTTCTCAACCCATCCTCCTATCCTGTCACAAAAGGCCTTCAGTTTTCCCTATAAATACACAGCACACAGCATGTTAAAAAATTGCAGTGGTGATAATGATTCCCTCCAGGTAAAAGGGAAAACGAGTGAATACTAGTAAAAGTACTTTAATAGTGTCAGGTTATTGTCATTCCTTGCTTTTTGCCCAATCCATTTTATTTAAATGGTAGAAATAATCTTTCACACAGTAGGGATACTGCAGCAGGAGTGTTAACACTAAAAAGAAAAAGATCCTGGGTAAGAGACTGAGTAGAAAGAAGAAAGCTACGCATCAGTGAATCTCTTTTTGCACACTGACTCTGTGTCCTTTGGGCCTGGAAAGCCAGCTGAGAGTTTCAAATCACACAAAGCTTCTAGATTTCAACAGCCAGCAGGGGATCTTCCAAGGGACACTGGGAAGAAAGTCATTTAAAACAGAACTTGCTGCTTACGTAGAACATTTGGCTTACCCTTAGGCACCTTCGAAAAAATGTATGTTTCGAAAACAGCATTAAAAGCATGGGAAAATATATATGTAATGTTGATAATTCATTGAAATACTATATAGAACAGTTTCAAAGGAGAGTCTATGGTGTATGTTTTACAAGGAGAAATTGATTTTCCATCTCAATATTAACATTATTAAAGATGCTGATTTGACAGCCAACTGATATAGCAGTAGCAAAACAGGGCTGGCAGTCGACTTTAATACAGGTTAAATTGCAATAAAAAATCAACTGTTTCACAAGAGTATGCAATTGATTTTCCTTTCTAATTTCATAGCCTCAGACCTGAAGTTACCCCAAATAGTTTACTGTATGCTACATTGTCTAACCATGTTTATAATTGTGAGATTCTTATTGTCTCAGATTGTGTTACAAAGAGATTCCATTTTTATAAAGTAGGGAATATTGAACATTGGCCACTTGTTAAACTTATTAACAGGGGTTCTAATAACAGGAACCACTAAATTGGAACTTTGTCCATTTGGTTTCTGTTTTAAATGACCAAGGATAATTATTTTAGAAGAATAATTGAAGCTTTACCATGTACAAAAGAGAGTTAATAAAATATATTTCATACCCCTGAGAATTTGCCAATAGAAATGTTTGGATGAGAATGAAATTCAACTAATTGAATAATTGTGCTTCTTGGGCTTTATATTTCACTTTTAATTTACCATGTTTCCTCACTCAGGCTTTCATCAAACAAACATAGATTAAGCATTTTCTGCCTACCAGGAGAACACACAGACATAAAAAACATAAGTCTTCTCTCAGTGCACTCACACTGTAGAAAGGAACAGGCCTTTATATCATTCACGTCATATCAGGACAGTAAGTGAAATTCCAGTGGTCTGACCAAAGTACAATGGCACAGAGAAGGAGAAAGCAATTACGTTAGACCTGAAAAAATCCAAAAAGGCTTGTCTCTACCTGCTTGCTGTTCTTAGAAACCAAATGTTTCCAGAAGACCATATTCTGTGTAGGAGAGTGGCAAGCCCATCTTTCTAATACGAAATTGTGTTTGTGTACATGTGTATGTGTGCTTTAGGAAAACAAATGTCACTAATACCTAAATAATTATTTAAAATCATCTTTAAATTAGTTTTCTGAGATCTCGGAGATTATATATATATATATATATATATATATATAAAATATATATATAATGTTTATATATATATTACTAGCATTCCAGAATAAAGAATATGACCATATATGTATGTGTTTGTGTAGGTGTGAGGTGATATGTGTATTGTATTTGCCACAAAGCATCTTAAACACCTTATAGCTTGATGGGACATCAGAATCTCATCCAACGCCTTCATTTTATACCCAGAAAAACTGAGGCGTAATGAGGTTAACCGCCTTGTCCAAGTTAACCAGTGGCCCAAATGTTCTACCTCCTGCTCCGGTGCTCTCCCTAATAACACTAGCTGCTATGTGGCTGAGTATTCACCTTTCTGAGAAGCTGTGTTGTTCTTTTTAAGCCTTGCAATCAAAGCAGTTTCCGGCAAAGGTCAGCTGACCCCATCAGACAACCTGCTGATGAAGGACGATCCTGCCCTGATGCTGTGGAGAAGGAACCCTGTAACCTGAACAAAAACTGCTACCACTATGATTATAATGTAACAGGTATGTGGACAGTCATCTGATCACCGAGTTAAAGGCCAAATCCCATGTCGGTCAGCCCTGAAGCGTTCCCATCAGTATAGTTCATCGCCATCTGTGGGCCTTTTGGACGTGCTGTTTACTCTCCAGGAAATTATTATTTAGTAAATAACAGAAATATTTATCTGTTCTATTTTTTCATAAACATCAAGATATAAAGAATGAAAATATCACACAAACGGTAGCCCTTAAAGTAGGTTGTGAATATTTTAAGAGATCCTGTTTAACACGTCCTCCCACTTTGGGAAGGTGCAAATGAAAGAAATATTTTTACCACAGGTATCAGCTTTAATGAAAGATGTCTTTCTTTGTCAGAAGATGTTTAATTGCTATAATATACTGTGGCAACAGTTCTTGGGGTGTATGGGCAGTTTATAAACATGATCAGTTTTATATAAAAATGTCAGCAATCTTAAACTTGCCAAAAATTATAAATCAGTGCTATAAAAGGTGCAGATAAAGAAAAACACATGAGTATTTTTAGAAAAACAGACGTTATAAATTTCATTTTTACCCCAAAATTTATTTAATCTCATCAAGGCAAATATTCTAGGAAAGAAAATATTTTATTGGTTCATCTGATTTGGGACAACATTCCAGCTTACTTTGGAATTTTTCACACTGAAACAAGCTCAAGAAATTGCACAATGACACATAACAGTCATATTGGTTTTTTATTTCTTTTGGTTTTTCTTTTTAATTTCTTTTGATGATACAAAGGAAATCAAGGTTCTCTGGGACATGCCATGTTACCTTGTAAGAAAAGATGAAAGAATTAGTTTGCAAAAGATGCAAAATAAGAGAATTAAATAAATATAGCCAAAATAATTTTTGAAGTAAGTAAATGTGCATTTTAGTGCATTCTGTATTTAGACAATAAGTGAAAACATGGTGTTCTATTTGAATATAACACAGTTAAAGTATCATCCACTAAAATTATGATTATTTTGTTATATAAAAATAATGCCAAGATTTTAAATTCTACTTTTATTAGGAAAAAAGGTTTTAAGTGACATTGATCTGTAGACCAAAGCCATTTTTACAATATCGCCAAACGGCTAGCTGTCAAGATTGTCAAGTAGACATCTGCCTTCAAGAATAATCCCTGTAGCTATGTGCAACCCCAGCAATTCCATTTGACTCCTGATATGTTCAAAGCTGGGTCCCATATGCTCTGCATGTGGGATGATTGATTATGGAGCTTAGGAAGCAGTTGTGAATTAAGTATGGGATTTAGGTCATCAAAGTTTCATTTGAAATCTGTTTCATATGTAGCCTTCTGTTCTGATGGGCTTCGTTCATTTCAGACTGGAGTACATGTCAGCTGAGTGAGAAGGCAGTTTGTGGAAATGGCATTAAAACAAGAATGTTGGATTGTGTTCGAAGTGATGGCAAGTCGGTTGACCTGAAATACTGTGAAGAGGTGAGTGGATGCTGTGTTTTATCTTTGTGAGTAAATTCTTCCCTAATAATTTCAAGTCATGCTGAGCCAAGTGACCTATGCTCCATGCAGCTTACTGCTAGCAGATGTTTTTCTGCACTATTCACAGGCTGTTAAATATGCTCTTGAAAAGAGATAATGTCCAACACTACTGATTTCTACATATAATTTCCTGTATTTTGTCCTGCTTGGAGCCCATAGGTATGCTAATTAGCCTGTTCTGAAAGAAATGCTTGGGGAACAATAAGTAATCAAGGTGAATAAAGGCAATAAATCTTAATCAGACTACTCATCATCTTTTGTAATTTGATATGAATTTTGTGTAGTGCCTGGGACACCTGCCAAGATCCATCACTTATTCTTTGTTGCTAAACATTGATCACATGTGGTTAGGTGGCAGGTTTTGATATTAGGATCTAATACTCAGCTGTGAGAGTCTAATTACTCAGGTCTGATTAAGAGAGAGATTGGAATTCAAACAAAGGAATGGAGTGTGCCATTATTGTCTTTTAGGTATGGAGAATTGTACTGGTAATTCTCTAATTGATAAAATAATATCGTCGTAACTAGATATGAGCTTCTGAAATGTGAGGAAACATAGTTGTTGGCCTTTTTTGGTTTTCATGAAACACATTTCATGTTGTGATAATTTTTCTGATTTCTAGACCAAAATGGTCCTCACATTCCTGCCAAGTTATGACTCCCCATACGTCTGAGATTCACAGGGTCAAATACCAACCAGATCTGGAATGACCAGAAGGAGCTTATCACATCATCAGAGCTCAGTAGACATAGTTGCCACGACTTCTGTTTACACATCCTGGGAGTTATTATTTAAGCCCACAGTAAATTGCTCCAACTCCTAAAGGAAAACTCTAGATGAAAATATTTTAATTCATTTGATATCTTTATCATGTGGACCTAACTTAACGTTTTTATATCTCTATCCATGGAAGCAGAGCTTCCACATGTGCCAAGAACACATCTGTTTTAAACACAAGTTGTGTAGTTAGTAAATGCTGCCTTCTATAATCTTATAACTTAGTCTGTTTGTACCTTAGATTTAAGTAATTGAAAATTTCACACTTGAATCATTTTGGTTTAGAAACTGATGACATCGAAATGATATCACTATTATAAAAAATAACATTATTATTAATGAAGACTATTACAGTCACATACTGGCTGGAGAGCTTCCTGTGATCTACTTCTAGTTAATTAATATGTCCCTTTTTATTTTGAAAATGTACACATAAATGCCCCCATGGGTCAGAATTAAAAGTAAAATAAATAGCTCTGAGAGCTTTTTGAAAGCTGAACCGAAACCATACATGACCAATTTTAAATTATTTCATATGACTAAAGGACAAATCTATAAATAGGGTCTTGATCTCTTAAATATGAGTAAAAACCTGGAAAATAATTTAAATTATCTGTGAACCTATATAATTTTACCCTTATGTGAAAATATTATAATATTCGAATACTGCAGTTACAAATAGGGATTCAAATTTTAACATTCTAGCAAACACTATCCCAAAGGAGTTAAAATTTGAGTGTGCAAACCCTACATTCAGTGCAACAGTAATAGGTCACACTTGCTGCTTCTCTAATAGCCACAAAGAAAGGTGGCGTTACTACCCAACAGAGAAAAATTAGAGTTAAATCCACCTAGCATTTATGTAGTATTTTTATTTGGGGTGTTTTCAGATGTTTACTGAAATTTACTCTTCTGATACCAAGTAACTGGTTTCTCCTTTTCTATTCTTTGATCCTTAAATAGATTTATTCTATTTCTTTTAATTTATTTAGGTGTGTATGTTTAAGTAAATATGAGAGAGAGAGATAAGAGATGCAATAAATGTAAGGAAAAGAGTAGTACTGGGTTAAAATATCTAGTTCTAGTGGATACCCAGAAAAACTGTAAACAGACATCCTCTTTAACTCCCTAATGAAATAAGTAAGCCAGTAATAGTTGAATTCTGTGATTCAAACTCTTTCTCCATGAAACTATTATCTACCTTAAATGTAACACATTATTTTCATCATAATCTCCTCAAGATTCCTATCTTTAATCTCCCATAACTTTTAAGAGAATTTTTAAGACTTTAATTAAGTTACATGGTAAAAATTTTCATCCAAATACTCAACTCTGTCAAGAATTACTAGTGTAGACTAAGATGGGAGGACCTGCAGAGGGACGCAGTACACATGGCTTTTATCTCATCCTCTGTCAATAGATAACTTAAAGCCAAGACCTATACCTGAAACACAGCGTAACATTTCACAAAATTTTTCTTTTGCCATCTTCTGCTGTATAAATTAAAAAATATAAACTTCTCTTTCATGTAGAAATAAAAAAGGTCTTGAAAATTCCAAGCATTATCAATAAAAAAAAATTGTATTCTGCTAACAAGTTCTTAAATTTTCCTATTTCAATGCTACTTTTGTACCTTAGACTTTTTAAATGTTGGAATTTACAATAGAAGAATTAGAAACCTCATCATATATTGTAAAAGTAGAATATTTAAATGATAAGTAGCAGAACACAAATGCCAATGAAATGGCACATTATTATCTGGAGAGAGATTTAACATCAAAATAACTTGAATTTTACCTGTTAGTTTCTAAGATCAGTTATAGAAGAGAAAATCTTTGTAAAAAATACACATAAAAAGTTCATAATTAAAAAAACTCTGGGAACTCACATTTCCTTTTGAGAAAGACAGCTTAATTAAAAACTGATTTTGATATTATTTCAATACATTATGTCATTAGCCTTGAGTGGCGATTTGTCTTTAGAATCTTTCCCTTTTGTTTTACAGATTAACATGAATATATAAAAATAATATCCCAAAGATATAATTGAAGATGTAAATATTGATAATATTCTTGGTTTTTAATTAATGGAAAGTAATTATGTGTACACTTATTTGTTCCTCATTTAGGGAAATTCAACCAATTTGGAGTTTAAATCTACTTTTTTCTATTGGTTATTGAAAATGTTGAAATAATACATAAGTATGCAGGGTTAATGGGGAGGGCCCTCCATTCATCCTCTGCCCTTTTATGATTTTAACAGTTTGGTGTTTGTCTTTCAGGTATCTTTTTATTCTGCTATGCAGCTTTCTTGTTCTCCCTTCCTCTATTCTCTTTCTGGCTCTCTCCCCCCACCAACAATATACAGTGGTCGTGCCTGTGTGTAAGTACAAACAGATCCCCCTCTATTCTTTCAGCTTGGCCTGGAGAAGAACTGGCAGATGAACACGTCCTGCGTGGTGGAATGCCCTGTGAACTGTCAGCTTTCTGATTGGTCTCTTTGGTCAGAATGTTCTCAAACATGTGGCCTCACAGGTTTGTTTGTACCACAATTAGTATTAGGCTAATGGCAAGGAATATGAAATAAAACATCCCTCTTGCTTTAAGTCAAATCTGATAATCTTCAGAAGGGTTGGACTGGGTGTCTTTCTTTCCAAAACCTCTGAGCCTTACTTGTTCCTTGATCTCTTCGGGATATATCACTGTGATGTCTTCTCCCAACAAGATACATGTTTGCACAACTATGACATATCACTAAAGTTGCATCACTTTATATCTCCTAAAGGAAAAATGATCCGAAGACGAACAGTGACCCAGCCCTTTCAGGGTGATGGAAGACCGTGCCCTTCCCTGATGGACCAGTCCAAACCTTGCCCAGTGAAGCCCTGTTATCGGTGGCAATATGGGCAGTGGTCTCCGTGCCAAGTGCAGGTATCAAATCTGAAGAAGTTGTATGGAAGCATGTGTTCTTTATCTTCAGAGACTTGGTTTCAGAAAGATTTTTCCGAGCTTACAGATGGCAAGCTTCTTCTTAAAGATTTTAGATTCCTTGCTATTTTACCACCATTTAATTAGTTTTGACAACAAATACTCCCTGCCCTGTACTTTTAAAATCATTTAGAGACTGATTCATTTTAATGATAATTTTTTGCCTGTCTTTGGCTAGAAAACAAATAAGTTGTTCAATGTATGTTTTGTAGCTAGCGCCCTATGGGGCTTCTTCCCTAAGGTTTCAAATGCTTCTCTAACTGTTCATAAATCAAAATCAATGGTGCAAAGATGAATGCAAATGATGAGTTCTGTAATTAATTATTTCTCTTTTCCTAATTAGTTATTTCTTCTTCCATTCCAGGAGGCCCAGTGTGGGGAAGGGACCAGAACAAGGAACATATCTTGTGTAGTGAGTGATGGGTCAGCGGATGATTTCAGAAAAGTGGTGGATGAGGAATTTTGTGCTGACATTGAACCCATTATAGATGGTAATAGAAACATGGTTGTGGAGGAAACCTGCACCCAGCCTTGCCCAGGTAACAGTAGCAAAACAGAATTCATACTTTGGTGATTTCTCCCTAGGACCAGGGTCAAGAAGGGTTGCATATATAAGTTAAGGGATGTCAGCTGTCTTCTTATTCAGTAATATCTATGCTAACAGTCAGACATTGTACCTGTGAGCAAAGGGGATCACTGCCTTGTTACTATCAGGTAGGGGTGAAGTCTTCGTCTCCTGTGTGGCCCCTCTTGACACCCCTCTGGAGTTTTAACATCTGCAGGGCATGATAATTAAGGTCTTATGCCCATGCTCAACAGGAAAAGTATGAAATAAAAGTTGAGGATGCATGCAGGAAAATGTAGGAAGCAAATGTTGTATATCAAATAGTGTAAAAAAATTGGCAGATAGTGATAAGCTAATATTTAGGAATTTGGGTTTGATGCAGGGATAATTGTAGGGGAAATTTAAGGTCACAATAAGCTAGGAAACCCATCCTTGAGAAAGATAAGGAGACAACAATTTATTAGTGAACTGGAAATGAACAATATTGGAAGTGAATTACCTATATTTTATTTCCAAATGTAAAACTTTTGTTCTCCTAATTTACTTATAATTATAATAAGAAAAAATACATCTCTTTAAAAATGTGTTCTTTTAATAAAATCTCAAAAAAATTATAAGGATTCAGCAAAAGAATAATGATTAGGCATAAAACACATTTTCTATGTAAAAGGATATGATTTAAGAAAATTTTAAAAGTGGATAACATGTATTTTCAAAAATTAAAAAAAATGAGATTGACCCCATACAAGCTGGAAAAGCTGAAAATGTGGGCTACACATCTATTAACTCATGATTTACTTATTCCTTAGTAAAAAAATTATTTAAGATGATAATATTGATAGTATATATTAATAGTTTATTATTAAGATGAACTGAATAAAATTGTATACAGCAGTAAATAAAATAATCCCTGATAGACTTTGAGGACATTCAACTGTAGTATTGGTCTTTGTGCACATGAATATTTTTATCTACTTTAATTTAAGAAATAATGATTATTTTAAAAAACCAAAAATCTGAATAGCAACTCCTCTTCAATGGGCATAAAGTTTTATTTACATAAGTGAATAAGTTCTAGAGATCCACTGTACAACATTGTGCCTATAGTTAACAATATTGTATTGCACACTTAAAAATCTAAGAGGCTAGATGTTATATTAAGTGACATTACCACAATAAAACAAAAAATATAAAATAAGATAATAAAATAAAATCTTACTTTCCAGGGCTAGGCAACATGTTGCTTCTTAGACATTCCCACACCTGCCAATAATAATCTTTTGTTGCTCCAGCAATTCCCCTGTTTCATTTCCTGCCCCTGAAGCCGGCCTGATCTCATTCACGATCTCACACACAATTCAATTTAATAAAACCGTTTTGCTTCAGAGTAGAGCCACCTTGAGGCTGTGGCAGCAGGTGAGCACTCTGGGTAGGACCAATGACTGAACCTTTGGACTTTGGTGTCCTGAATGGCATAGAGTCAACAAAAAGTGACCAAAGCTGAAAGTCAGAACACCCACCTATTCCACAACCAGATCTCCAGCACCAGCAATAGGATTTGTTGAGCAGAACTGGCATCCTCTCCAGGCACTGGTGTGTGCCTTACTGTGGAGGACTCCGCACGTTTTCGTTCTACTTCCTGCAAGACAATCACCCACTCATTTGACTTGTACTCCTCAAGTATAATTAGGTCAGGCCTGGGTTTGAGGTTGGAGATACAATGGAGATGAGCAGACCCTGTCCTCGTACAGCTTACTTTCTAACAGAAGGGACAGTTGCTAATCTCATAGTAACAAAAATAACATAAGATTATAAGTGATTAGAAGGAAAATTATAGGATGCCATGATAACATAGAACAGGGCAAACACACTATTTTAATGAAAGTAATTACAAATCCAGGAGGAGGTTGTTCTTCTCTTACAAATTGCAAGCTATTCGTTTTGGTTCCTCTCTTGCTAGTTTTCACTAATAATTAGTTTTGAAAGCTAGCAATATGTAGACTAATAAGCATTAAAGAGTAGAATGCTGAATTTGGAAATACATTTCATGCGTTTAGTCGTCATATCTTTGGCAGGCATAGTGTAATTTTATTATTACAATGGTTCATGTGGTCTAAATATAAAAGTATATTTAGTAAAAGGAAGTGGCTCACTCTCATTTGCTATTGTTAAGTCTCTGAAGCCTGACATGGTTTATTTTGGGGTGATAATTATATAACTCACAGACTACCTTTAAAAGATTTATTCAGTTTTGTTGCAAAATACATGATGTTAAATGTAAATAGCCAAAGAGATAAAGGCTACCAATAAAAAAGTGTGTTTTATTTCCATGTAGTTTGCAGTCACTGAGGTGAAGTTATGTTACATTCTTATCGACAGGAATTTTTTTTTTAACTTCTGCAGTTTTTTCTGCATAATTGAAAACTGAGTAACTCAAAAGTGGCATTTCCTAGGGGATAGAAGTGTTTCTAAAACTTTTTTAGACTACTTAAAAATTTTTGTTCACTGTTTCTTCCTTAGTATTTCCAAAATTTACTAGAATTTTCCATACTTCAGGAGTACCAAAGACATTCTAATAAAGGTCTGCAAAAATCACTCTACTTTACTATTATACCTATATCTGTTAGTCAGTAATTCATGTCTTGCCGGATTTCTTAATCATGACACAAGAAGTTTTCCCATTAATCAGATCTCCAGGCAACTTTGTGCTAATATTAGTTATCATCAGCATAATATAAGGCTATATGAATTATTCATATAATATGGCTGAAATAATTAAAGTGATAAGAACCCCTTATGGATTTGTGTCTGTCATAATTAACTGTGTACTCTGACCAGTATCACCAAGCAGTCAGTCCTGAAGAATGGATGGGTATATGGTAAAGGTACATTTCATTAAATCTTTTTTGCTCTTAAAATAGTTGAAGATGTTGAGCACATGGATGCACTATGCCCCAGCAATTGCCCTCTTGGATATATACAAAATAGAAATGCATATGTAAATTCATCAAAAGACTTGTACTAAAATGTTGACAAAAACAAAAGAGAAAAAATTTACATCTCCCCACATGCCCATCAATAGTAGAATGTTATCTAAATTGCGATGTATTCACACAACGGAATAAAGTAGAATAAGAATGAACAAATTAGAAATACATAAATATATGATGGATCTGACAAACATAAATGAGAGAAAGAAACCAGATACAAAAATAGTACGTATGGCACAATTTCATGTATCACGTGAGGGAGGGGTCTGAGATTCTGGGAATGTTCTGTTCTTGATTTGGGTGTTGATTGCATGATTATATAATTAGATTGTGAAAATTCAGCTATCTGTGCATTTATGATATGTGATCATTTTTCATGTTTGTTATTCTTCAATGAGTAGTTTTTTTAAAAAGGGAAGTTGATCGAAGACATAGATCAGAGGAAATAGCAAGCATTTCCAGTACTGCAGCTGCTCAATTGGTTCTCTGACCTCCACTCCCCTGGGAAGAAATAGAAATAAAACATAAATACCAGCTTTATCAGCCTTGGACTTCAAGATTTTTTGAAATTATGAATACCTGGAAGACAACTTCTATGTATATTTAGGTTTTCTTTGAGTAGTACCAAGTGCTTAATGAACTCCTTTACTATGGTAATGATAACAGTGGTGATAGGTTTTAATCAAATATTTGTTGTGTCTTAAGAGGAGATGAATCATAATAGACAAGTTCTTTTAAGCCACAGTTTACATTTGATATCATTAAGCAACACATAGACTAATGACAGCCACTCAGAAAATAACAATATTTATGCAAAATTATAAAACTACATACAAACTGACAAAGATTAAATACTTATTGAAACCTTATAAATATTACATATAAACATTGCGCCATAGGGCTAGAATTAAAATTACTGTCTGGCTGGCTTTTCTCTATGGGTATGGGTATAAACTACAAAACTGTTTTACAGGTGACTGTTATTTGAAGGACTGGTCTTCGTGGAGCCTGTGTCAGCTGACTTGTGTGAACGGTGAAGATCTAGGCTTTGGTGGAATACAGGTCCGATCCAGAGCAGTGATTATACAAGAACTAGAGAATCAACATTTGTGCCCAGAGCAAATGTTAGAAACAAAATCATGTGATGGTGAGTGCTACAATTCATGAAATCTCTTCATTTTAGTTTTGTGTTAAGCAAAAGCATAAGGTAAAGAATTTTCTGTTAAATAAGTAAATTTGCTAAGATCTCACTTAAGACTGAGAATTGAATTAAAGGTATGATTCTGAATTCTAATGATTTAGAGGAAGGGAAATCTTGCTACCCTTCATAAATTATATATAAAATAGTGCAAAAATGTTTACCAGTTTTATGAATTAAAAAAGGCTGAAATAATTAGGAACACATTATTTGTGTACCTATTAACAGTCATAATCAGGTATGAATCTAACAATATCTTCAATTTATTTAAATAAAATGACAGAATTAAGGAAAAATTACAAATCCACAGCAAAATGAGAGATTTTACTATATCCTCAGAAATTG